AAACAATATTACCAAGCAATACTCATCAAAATATCTGGTATTGGCTAAGAATAGATTAGGTACACAACATACGGTCATCTAGTGTTTGATAAACCCAAAAAGCCAAGCTTTGGGTGTAAGAACTTAACAAAAAATGCTGGGAAAACAGGAAAGTGGTTTGGTTGAAACTAGGCATATGTAGAAACCAACATCTCACACTGTACATCAAGATAAGATTAAAATGAATAAATGATATAGATATAAAGGATGATGTCATGAGTAAATTAGGGGAGCATGGAAAAATGTATCTGTTAGATCTTTGGATAAGGAAAAAGTTTATGATCAAACAAGGGATGGAGGATTATGGGAAGTAAAATAGATAATTTTCATTGCATGAAAGCTTTTGCACAAACAAAACTAATAATGCAGTCAGAATTAGAAGGAAAACAGGAAACTGGTAAAAAAATTTTACAAATTTCTCTGATAACAGCCTCATTTCTCAAAAAATATAGGGAAATAAGCCAAATTTATTTTAAAAAAGTAAGAGCCATTCTCTAGTTGATAAATGGTCAAAGGGTATGAACAGGCAGTTTTTGGAAAAAGAAATCCAAGTCATTATTAGTCACATGGAAAAAAATGCTCCAAATCACTGTTAGAGAAATGCAAATTAAAGCAACTCTGCATACCACCTTATACCTGTCAGATTGGCTAATATGACAGAAAAAGAAAATTACCGGTGCTGGAAAGTGTGTGGGAAAAAATGTTACACTATTGCACTGTTGGTGAATTTGTAAACTAGTCAAACCATTCTGGAAAACAATTTGGAACTTTGTCCACAGGACTATATAACTATGCATACCCTTTGATTCATCACTACTAGGTCTGTATCCCAAAGAAATCAAAGGAAAGGGCATAGGAGCTATTTGTTCAAAAATATTTTTAGCAGCTCTTTTTGTGGCGACAAAATATTGGAAATTGAGGGATGTTCATCAATAGGGGAATGGCTGAACAAGTTGTGGCATATGATTGTGACAGAAATTATTGTTCTATACAAAATGACAAGAAATGGTTTCAGAAAAATCTAGGAAGATTTATATGACTTGATGCAAAGTGAGCAGAACCAGGAGAATATTGTATAGAGTAACAGCAAAATTATAGGATGATCAAGTGTAAAAGACTTAGCTACTTGGACAATTGCAAAGGGTACGTGATAAAAAATGCTCTCTCCCTCCAGAGACAGAACTGATAAACTCTGAATGCAGATTGAAGCATATCTTTTTTTTTACTTTGTTTTATTTTGTGTTTTCGTGTGCAACACATCTAATATGAAATTTGTTTTATGTGACCTCACATGTATAATTGACATTAAAGTGCTTGCTTTTTGGAGAGGGGATGGGAGGAAGGGAGAAAATTTGAAATTCAATTTTTAAATGGTTGTCAATTTTTTACATGTAATTGGGAAATATTTCACTAGATAAAAATAATTTTAAAAAATTCTTGCTTCATTTCTTCCAGGAATTATAGATGACCTTGTGGCCAAGTTCTGTTTTTGTTTTTGTTTTTGTTTTTTTGTTTTTGTTTTTGAGCCTTTGTTTGTAAATACTTTTAAATTCTTCTCTTCTGGGTTTGTACCTTTGAAATCTGGGTCTCCATAATAGTTCTTCAAGGATCTGAGGGGCTAGTCCGGGAAAATTTCAACAAGCTTTGAGCAATATAATCAAAGCCATGGTTTGATTGCCATTCCTCCCTTGTCTGAACTTTGTAGTCTCTGGACTCTGGTTTCATTCTGAGCAACAGACTTGTAGGTTCACCCCATGTCACAACTCAGGTAAAGAGTTACTGGTCCTAACTAGAAGCTTCTACAGTTTTAGAGTAACAGAGCTGAAGGTCCACCTCTGTTCTATAGTTTCAACTATGGCTGATTTCACAATCGTGGGCTTGAAAAAAATGACCCATGGCTGTTTTTATTTTAATTTCTTTACCCTTACTCAATCTGGTTCTTTTTCTAAATCTTTGTTGGAATAGTTGTGGGAAAGAAATGGGATGTACCACTTCCTCCTGCTTTATCTTCTTTGCTGGTTTTTCTTGTTGTTTTCAAAAGGAGTAACCGAGAAGTAAAGTTCCACTTAAAATGGTTGTTTAAAGAGTCAGAAAGTTATTGCTCTATATTAGTCTTTATGTTATATATCTCAATAAAGGAAAGTTCTTATTATATTGGTGCAAATATGAAGATTTTTTTGGTTGGAAAGATTATAAGATAATTGATTTTTATTCAGCTATGTGCTTGATGGATTGCTATCTAATCAACAAGCCTTTATTAATTTTTGAAATGCCAGACACTCTATTAGGTATTAAGGATACAAAGATAAAATTGAAACAGTTCCTACTCTCAAAGAACTTACAGTTATAGAGCAAGTGAAAGAAAATAATGTTTCATAAGGCTAGAAAAGTAGTCTGAGTTTAAGTTGTAATGGGCTTTAAACACTTATGGAGGAGAAAATTGATTCTAAAGGCAGCAGGTAGTCACTCAGATTTATTGAATAGGAGACTGATATGTTCTCTTAGTATGCCCACATATTCATGTGGATGGTAATACGTAGGCAGTTTTGCATAGTGTAACTTGGCCATAGAGTTGGAATGATCTGTGTTCAAATGTCACCTAAGACAATTACTGGCTGAGTGACCCTGGGATTTATCCTAATCTTTAAGTGACCTCTGACATGATAAATTGCACAGTACATGTCAATTTGCAGTAGTATAGGTGTTTTCCTCACTGAGAGTTCCTTATACCACTGAAATCACAAATCTGGTCCAAACAAACAAAACATGGTACTTAAACTATCTACCTCCAATAATGTGATGAACATCAAATTAGAAAGTGTATTCAAAGTAGTTTATAATTCCCAAATGTTATGTAGTTGTAAATTTATCGTTATCATCATTCTTAAAGAAGATGGCATGTCTTTGTGCCAGGCATTTTAAGATCGTAGAATTTTATGTTACAAGGGACCTTAGAGAGTAACTAGGTGGTACAATGGATAAAGTGCTAGGCTCAGAGTCAGGAAGACCTGAGTTCAAATCTAGTCTTAGAGACATATTAACTGCATCACCTTGGAGAAGTCACTAAACAGCTGTTTGCCTCAGTTTCTTCATCCGTAAAATGGGGGTGATAATAATAGCACCTACCCCCAGGGATGTTGTGAGGATCAAATGAAATAATGATTATAAAATACTTAGCACATAATGTGCTAAGTTATTATGTCTGGCACATAATAAGTGCTATATAAATGTTAGCTATTAGTAGTAATAGTCCTACCCTTTCATTTTTAGTAGAAGAAAATAGAGAGGCTACAGAGCTGAAGAGACCTACCAAATATAACCAAGAGAATAGATAATAGAGCTAGGCTTCTGTTTCTAATTCCAGTGTTGTTTCCCCTACATCAAGGGGAAATGACTTCCTCGAGGTCATAAAGCTAGTTAGTGAAAATCAGGACAAGAATAATTCCTTATGTCTGGGATGACAATTTAGTCATGTTTTTTATTTTGTTTATTTTTCAAATGATAATTCCTTCAGAAGTGGTAAATGGTGATGGATACAAGTTCTACTTAAGGTATTTGTCTGAAGACCTAGGGGAAAAAAATCTGCTGCCCAGAGTCTGCATCTCAATGTCTCATTAGGAGGATCATGAAGAATTAGAATTCTTTAGGGAGAGATTTATAGACATTCTTGTCTATGAACTGCTTGGAAGGTTATTACTGAATAGCAAGCAATGTGATCAAAAGTGAATGCTTTTCTCTCTCTAGTAATTATTATTTACTCCATATTTTGTCACATGCTCTGTGATTCTTCACAGTTTAGTTTATAATAATTAATACTTCTGTGCAATTCTAGCAGTCTTTCATCATGTTGAATGTTTCAAGATACATTTTCAAAAGTGAAGGAAACAGTGTTTAAGGGAGCAACACTTCATCCAATATAACCTCCTAATTTTAGAGAAGAAGAAATGAAGATACAGAAAAGGGTTTGGAATTTGTCCATCATCACCCAACTAGTTATACAAATTTCATGGACTCAAAACTAGGAAGGATTTTAGAGACTATTAAAGCCAATTCTCCTCCCGCATTTTATAGAGGAGAAAATGGAAGTCCAGAGAGAGGAAATGACTCAAACTAGGAGTAAAGCCAGCATTAAAACTCAGGTCTCTTGACTGCCAGATCAGCTTTCCACTGTTCCATGAAATCCCATTTTTTTAACCTAGAAGAGGTGAATCTAAAGCTATGTGTAATGGAGATGGAGTCTTAAAAATTGCCCCAGCCAAAAAGGTCAATGATCTAGATATCAGTTCTGTTGAAATAAGTTATTTCTACCCTGTGATCTCAAATGTATTTATTGGTTATCCTCAGTTATTAATATTTAATTATCCCAGTGCTCAAGGTGGATAGGGAGACAGTCAAGAGAGTAGTCTAGCTGGCATAAAAAGTTCATGTTGGATATCAGTGGGTGATAAGTTTGAATAGGCAGGACGAGATTATAAGGGTCTTGAATGCCAGGCTGAGGAGTTTGGGTTTTATTCTGTTTTCACTAGGGAACCTTTAAATATTATTGAGTAGAGAAATAGCATGACCAAAAAAAAATTTTCATGTTTATCCATGTGACTTTGCAACATGATACAATGGAAAGAGAGTTAGATATTAGGTCTGAGGTCCTAGGTTCAAGTTCTGTTATGGCTACTTACTATTTGTACGACCTTGGGCCTGCCGCAACCTCACTGAAGCCTCATTTTCCTCATTAAGAAAAGATAGGGCTTGGATAATTTGACTTCTAAGATTGTTTTGAATTCTAAATCTATGATCCTATTATCCTATGCCCTTGGATGCTTTATATTAAAAAAGAACTACTAAGAATATACATATGATCTAATTCATTTTGGTAATATGAGAAATGTTTGTGTATCTAGGACTGGGTATTGTTATTACTGTATTCTTCTAACCTTTACTCTCAACCCTTTGATTTCCTCCAGGAGAATTCTTAAGTTTTGCCGATGACTTGCTCTCTGGCCTTGGAACATCTTGCGTAGCAGCTGGTAGAAGTCATGGTGAGGTCCCAGAAGTTAGCATCTATTCAGTCATCTTCAAGTGTCTGGAACCTGATGGTCTCTACAAGTAAGATATAATGAAAGCACTGGGTGAACATGGGGGAAGTGGGAGGAAAAGACAGTGTCTTTGGAAAATCCATGTGAAAGAAAAAAGGCAAGAATGGCACTCAGGGACTTAATGTCAGCAGCACTCAAATTATTAAATACTGGTTTGTAGTGAGATTCTGTTTCTGAAAGGAACACCATGTGTTATTCCATCTTGGTTAGTCTCTGAAGTGTTCTCTACATAGATCCGTGTACCTTGAGAAGTTTCAGTTCATACCTTTGATAATTCATAGAGTATTAGGACTGACAGGGACCTTAGAACGCAGAATATTTTTGAATGTTAGAACAGAGAAAATACAGTGCTAATGTTGGAAGAGACCCTTAAATAGGGAATGTTAGAACTGGAAAAACCATAGAACATACTATGTTGTATTAAAATGGAGATTCTTGAAATTAGAAATCATTGAATCAAACTACTTGATTTTATAGTTTGTGAAACTGAGTCTCAGAGAAGAGAATTAGCTTGCCCAAGTTTACACAGTTAATTACAGAAATGTGAATAAAGCTCATCTTTCCATGAAACTATACCACTTCTTAGAAAATCGACATTTTTGCAACATTAAGTTATTTTTTCACAGTAGAACCATGAAATCCATTGTATATTTATAATTATCCTCTCTCTCTTTTTTTTAATATGTGGGATTCATTTCTTTCCTTTTCTTCCTTCCAAAACCCTTGAAGATCCAAATGAAAAACTATAAGACTTATCTGTCCACTTAAGATGAAAATGCATGCTGATTCTTCATGCTTTTCAGCCTCAATGCTTGTTTCTATGCCCATAGATAAATACACAGTCCTAGACAATAGTAATGGATAAGAACTATGTGATCTTAAACCAAGGCTTTTTCTTGATATCTCATTTGGCCTGAATGATGTTGTTACCTGAAGGGGAAAATATGGTTCTTATTGAGCATTATATAGGAATTCAGAGGAGGAAGAAATTATTTCAGACTTCAGGAGCCAGGAAAGGTCATAGGAGGTGGGATCTGAGCTGGCTCTTGAAAGATAGAGAATCTATGGATAGTCCGAGAAGGGGCATTCTACCAAAGGTACACCATTCCCCGCAGACATGGGGAAGAACATGCCAGGTTCCAGTGGTAAAAAATAGACTGATGAGGCTGGAGTCAAGTGTTTGGGGAAACATGGGGAGATGAGACTGAACAGGTGGCTTACAGAGGACCATCACTGTCTGATTAAGGAGTTTGGATTTTAACCTTAGAGGCAGTTAGAAGTCAAAGACTCTTTTTTTTTCAATTAAAGTAGGAGAATGACATGGGATAGTGGAAAGGACACTGCCTCTAGAGTCCTATAACCTGGATTCAGATGCCTTCTCTGTACCCTCTTAGTAACTTTGGAATCCTAGGCAAAATACTTAATCCCCCTGGCCCTCACCTTTCTCATTTGGGAGGACTAGAATGGGATAGATAGCCTCTGAGGTGTGTTCCAGCTCCAGATCTATAATTTTATGATCAAAATAATATTTCTTGCAAAAATGTCCTAATGGTGACCCCCTTGGTCCCATAGTCTTCTAAGTCTGAGGAGGAAAGAAGTGATGAAGTCTTTCTGTTACATATTAGAGCCTGTCTGGCCTGTGCTGTCTCACCTCTTCTCACACCTCTGATTCCCCAAACACCCCCACACCCATTTCTGGCTCTCCTGGGATAGTAGATATCTACTAGAAAAAGGCAGTACCCAGGCAAAGGGTCAGAGGACCAGCTGCCCAGTTGAGTGGGAGGAAAAGACAATCTCTTTGGGAAATTCACATGAAAGAGAAAAGACAAGAAAGGCACTGAGGGACTTGGTGTCAGCACCGCTGAAATAATTAAACCCTGATTTGCAGTGAGTAATGAAACGTTTTATGGAATCCCAAAAGCAGTTAAAGTTGAGAGCTGGCAAATCGACCGTCAACTTTCAAATATTTTGATTAATACTTTTCCCGTTCCCCCTCTGGTCTCCCCCCACTACCCACCCTGGGCTGGTCCCTCTGCAATTCACTGACAGATTCCAAAAGAGGAAAAGTCTTTTCTTCCCCATCTCTTCTTCTCTGTCTGGAAACGTGCTTGAAGCAAGACTTTCTGTTTATAACTTTACATGCTTCCTTTTCTTAATTTATTTTATTAATATCAATGGGAATTGGGTGGTTCTGAAAAGATGCCAGGCTAGTGTCTGGGACAGCTCTGGTTCTTTCTAGCTCCTCTCCTCCCATAAACTTCAGGATTATAATTTTCTCTCTACTAGCAACTCGGCTTGGAGTTTGCTTTAGGGGAGAGAAAAGCTTTTTAAAAAGAGTTTATGTTTTAGCTCTTAAGTTTCTCTGCCTCTCTTCATTCCCTCATAACTTCATTTGGTTTTCTTCCCTGTCTCAGTCTTTCCTGTTCTTTCTACCTGTGCTTCATCTCTCTCCTTGTATTTCTTCTCTCTGTTGCTCTCTCATGTCTTGCATATTTCTCTGTCATCTCTCTGCTTTCTTTTTTTTTTCTCTTTCTTTTTAAAGAATCATAACATATTAGACCTAAGGGGAAACTTTCAATGATTAGCCCAACTCCTTTATTTTGTAGTTGAAGAAACTGAGGTCAAGGGTGGTAAAGTAATATTTCTGAAGTCACACAGTTTCTTGCACAGGTCCCCCAATCATTGCTCAAGCTTGCTCTCCATATAAAGACAAATAATAATAATGATTCAAATCTATATACCACTTTGAGGTCTGCAGAGCACAAAGCTCACAGAATAGTAGAAACAGAAACTAGGCCTGTGATTTTATTGGTATGAAGAACTCTCAGGTGAAGAAACTCCCTTTACCAATACAAAACAACAGCTTCTCTGTAATCTCTATTCCTAAAAGAATTGCCTAGAATATTCAGAGTTTAAGTGGCTGGCCCAGAGTCAAATAGAGAGTATATGTCAGAGGAAGGACTTGAAACCTGGTCCACCTGATTTCAAGGCCAGTTTTCTTTTCTCTGTGCTATATTTCCTCTGTAAAGGGTGTTAAAACTGAAAAGGACTTTAGAAATCTGACTAACCTTCTCACTTTATAAATGAGAAAAGTAGGGTTCAAAGTGACATACTGAAATTGGCAGAGGGGTACTGAAAGACCTCACCCTAATCAAAAGTGTCTACCTCACAGACCTGCAATATTTCCTGAAATTCCTATCATTACTCATTGCTTTGGCTTAAGGCATAGAATACCCCATTTAAAATTTAAATGTGTATGAGATTCAGGGGAAAGAGTGCAACAGACCAAACCACTGTAGGCTGACAGTGTAGTACTATTAGTACTGTAGTACTATTAGTACTATATTTCATAGCAGTTTCTTAATTTCCCAACAAAGAGAAGTCATGGAGTTAAGACTGGGACATAACACAGAGACATTTTGAGTCAAAAAGCAGGGTGAAACAAAGAAGAAAGATCTAGGGAATGGGTATTTTCTGATAGGGTAGGCCCAAGGCAGAGCACAAGCAGGGAGTCTAAAACATTGGAGAAGCTATGTGCAAAATTATAAAAACTACTGAGTTAAGAGTCCAGAGGTCTAAGGTCTCATCCCAGGGGTGCTAATATCTTCCTGTTTAACCTTAGACAAGTATACCAATCTGGACCTTAGTTTCTTCATCTTTAAAACAAAAGGGTTGGACTCTGTGTTCTCCAAGGTCACATATGATTCTATGACTTTCATGGCTATATGGGATGAGTGAAAGAAAGGAAAGAAATGCAAAAAAAAAAAAAAAAAAGGAAGTGAGATGCAGGGTGAGTCAAAGGCAAATGGGCCAGGCCCTGGCCAAGTACACAGGCTTGTGGGAGTACACACATGCTCAAACTCACAGGAAGGCATGTTCAAATAGACCCCTGCATCTAGGAAGACTAATTGCATTTGAAACCCCTCCATCCCTGTAATGTCAAACATTGCCATAGGCCAAGACATCAGAAAAGTAAAAGTCAAGGCTAATTCTCTGTCCTAAACTCACCCCACTGTGACAAAATAAAAACATCAGCTCAGTGTCATTTTTAAATTGAATTTCCTTGTTTGTTTCTCTTGTCTTGTTTTTGAGTAAGAAAGGGAAGGGGCAAGTTCCTCAAATGCTTCATTAATGGGAATAATTCCTAAGCCCTTGGGGAAGTAGGCCATTTGTGGGAGATCTTGGTTTTAGTTTGATTTATCAGGTGAATCCCTACTTCTTGCAGATGCCGTTGGCTGTTTGACTGACCCTGAACAAATCTACCATCAATGCTTCCCATGCATCCCCGATTCTGGGCCCAGACAACTTTCCTTTTCTCACCTTCCTTTGGAATGACCCAAAGCAGTTAGCCAATATCCAGTGCTCATCCTCACTCACAAGAAGTTCTACCAAATCATGCTGAGGGAGTGTGTTCCAAGTCTTGTGGTTCAGGACCAGTTCTCACAGATTACAAATCCTCAAATCCCCCCCCCCCCTCCACACCCACCCACCTCTATTAACCTATCAACTCCGTGAGAATTCCCAAAGAAACAGAATATCAGCTCCAAATACCCATGACCAGTCACTGTGTACCTCAGAATAAGGGTTAATAGCTAGAGAACTGCACACCTAATATTGTTCTGAAGCCAGCCACCCTTGTAAAACTGTGCTACACAAAAAACTTTCTGTTCTGCCTCATTTCTACTTCCACTACAAAGGAAAGACTTCTGTGTTTGAAAGGACATAATCTTGACTTAAATCCAGACTTGATTACCTACTACCACCGTTCCTGGTACAGAAAACAGTATGGTATAGGGGAGAAAGCACGGAGTCCAGAATCAAAGGAAGCCTCAGACACTATTTGTTTGACCTTTGCCAAGTTGCTGGTCCTCAGTGTCTCCATTTGTAAAATAAGGGGGTTGGATAAGATGGCCTTCAAGATCCCTTCCAGCTTTAAATCATGTGATCCTTGGGCACTTCTTACTTAAAAGACAGCTAGTTCCTATGATCACAAAGATGATTATCAGATAC